ATGTCCTGAAGGGAGGGGAGAGAGGCACCAACGATCTTCTCAGCTGCTCTCACTACGCGTTGAAGTGTCTTGCGGCAGGACGCGTTGCAGGCGCCATACCACACAGTGATGCAGTTGGTCAGGATGCTCTCGATGGTGCCTCTGTAGAAGGTGCACATGATGGGGGCCGGGGCTCTGGCTCTTCTCAGTTTGCGGAGGAAGTAGAGACGCTGCTGTGCTTTCTTGGATGACCAGAAATGCTGTGTGGTATCGGCGTTTGGTATCGGGGTATTTTAATGAGTACAAGTACGAGTACAGTATCGGTGCATCCCTAATATATATATATATATATATATATATATATATATCGGCATTTCTGTTCAAACACATAACCTCTGCGTAGAATTTTATATAACGTTAAATACCTAACTCAAATGTACATTCTGTCATCATTTACTTAGGTTCTTAGATATTTTCTAGAATATGCATGCTCCTAATTTCCATATAAGGGCAAACACACACACACACACACACAAACAATAATAAAATGAAATAAAATAAAGTAACATGAAATAAAATGTAAAATAAACACTGAAAAAATATATATATATATATATTTTTTTCAGTGTTTATTTTACATTTTATTTCATGTTACTTTATTTTATTTCATATTATTATTGTTTTTTTAACAGTTTTAGTGTTAGTTTTAAGTAACAACACACTACACACAAGTGTTGTGAAGTCTCATGATAGCTTTGAATCAATAAAAAGGCTGCATTTTAAGATACTATTTGCCAATAATAACAATGACAAATCTTATTCACGGTTCTGACACACACACACAAAAATGGATTAATGTCAATGCCACTAAGAAACAAAAGAGTTTTCCTTTATGGCTGAATTATTAATTTAATGTGACAACAACAGGAAGCTTCTTTGCCATAGAGAGTCGAAGACCTCAAGGCCTTTCTCTCCACAGATCTCTCTGTTGCAACAAACATGCCCCTTCCATCCATAGGGCTCTTTTATATCATTCATTAGTTTATGTCTGCCACAAAATTTAACACCACAGGGCCTTTCATTTATTAATCTGGCACTCAGATCAACCCCATGGCGGGGCTGGATGGAGAAGCGTGCCAGCTGGGTCAGTCCGTGTCCAGGCCTCTGGCTGGGTTCACAATCTCCAGTGAACAAAACGAATCGGCTTGGAAGCTTTTGGACACTGTTGTGCGCAGTTCTGTCTCCACGCGCACCAAGCGCCATCTCTATCAAACGTGACACAGTTTCGAAGATGTTTTTTGTTGTTGTCGTTTTAAAAAAATAAATCAATAATCAATACTTTCATTAATCGAGGATGCATTAAATTGATCTGGTAATAATAAGAAATGTTTATTGTGCAGCAAATCAGCACATTAGAATTATTTCTGAAGAATCATTTGACACTTAAGACTGGAGTAATGATGCTGAAAATTCAGTTTTGATCACAGGAATATATATGGGGTACAACAGGGCTAAAGGCACACCTTAAGAAAAAATGTGCCATTCACTGTGCCTAAAATGTAAATATGCAGAAAAAAAATATATATGAAGAGTTCAGATGCAAAAGCCTCTAAAAGCCATCTTGGTCAAAAATGAGATAACAATACTGAGTGAAAGCTCTCCACACATAGTATATGTTCATCAAGTACTTTCACTTCAAATGCACAAAATCCCAGCCTCAACCCATTCAGAAGTACCAGTACTTGCATAGAAACCTATACATAGTAGCCAGAAAGAAATGCTAATTTTAAAGAAAAACGTCAGACGTACTTAGGGGCTTTTGCATCTGAACTCTTCATATATACGTTGTATTGAACATTAATGGAGCAACAGATTTTGTGTGAATAAAATAAATCATACAAGTCGTTTATTTTGTTTAAAAATCGTATAAATGTATGAGGTGGCAAGGGGGGCCTTTTACCCCACACACGGAGTAAAAGGCACACGGTTTTGATACAAATGTTTCAGCTAAAATAATATATATATATTTTTTTAATAATGTTTAAGTTAATACTTGTTCAAAACAATCACTTTAGCAAAGTTTGTACTATTTTCTGCTTATTTTGAATAAAATAATTTATTTTATTTAAATAAAATACTGTCATTAAAATATGTTAATATAAAAATATATTTTAAAATACAGAAACAAAATCATTTTAATAAGTAAAGATTCTGAAAGCACTGAAGGAGATCCAATAATAATTGAATATATATTTAGTAGTAACAACCAATGCTATTTGATTAAATGTTATAATTAATATCATGTTTTTAAATATGATGGTTTCATTCTAAACATGGTGATTATCTCTAATATAGACACCCAACATAATATATATTTACCATCTGAATCTAACCATGTCATGTCAACAAATGGAAAAGTCAGCCATCTATTAATTATCATGTTAATTACTGTACGCCTTTAGCCCCAACAGCAGGGGCGCTTTTTACCCCAAATACCATACTTTTACATATTCTTTCATTATTTAAAAACTGTTGCTTTAATTATCTTAAACTGAAAATCATAAAGAAGACCCCTGTCTCAAAATACATGTAGTAATTTTAGCAATTCTTATTTGCTACTTAAATCGACAACATTTTTAAAAACATAAAATATTAGATCAAGTAAGCACAGAATTAACTTTGAGCTGCTGCGTGAGATCACGTCAAGGATCAGACAAATATACACGTGTATCTTGAAAACCGGATGTTTTGGAAAGTGCTACGCCTCGTTTTTGTGCCATCTAGTGGTTTAGATGACTTTTTACCCCAAATACCATACTTTTACATATTCTTTCGTTATTTAAAAACTGTTGCTTTAATTATCTTAAACAAAACTGAAAATCGTTAAGAAGACCTTTGTCTCAAAATATATGCGATTCTCATTTGCTACTTAAATCTACAACATTTTTAAAAACATAAAATATTAGATCAAGTAAGCACAGAATTAACTTTGAGCTGCTGCGTGAGATCACGTCAAGGATCAGACAAATATACACGTGTATCTTGAAAACCGGATGTTTTGGAAAGTGCTACGCCTCGTTTTTGTGCCATCTAGTGGTTTAGATGAAAATAATATCAAAGGTGCCTTTAGCCCCATTGTACACTATATACAATATATATATATATATATATATATATATACTGTATATATATATATATATTAAAATAGAAAACAGAGAGTTTAAATTAAAATAATATTTCACAATATTTTACTGTATTTTTGATCTTGGTGAGCAGAAGAGACTTCTTTCAAAACCATTAAACATTCTTACCGACCCCAAACTTCTGAATGGTAGTGCATAACAAAAACAAGGGCAGTAAAAAGCTTTTAGTCTTCATTAATATCAACACAAAGAGCTTGTAGTTGATGAAACACCCCTAAATGTACAGCACAGCTTCTCAAGAAAAGTGTCAAGAAATTTTGAAAAAACACTGAGAGATCCTGGTGTTCCCTAAATATCCTTAGCATAATCGTCCCCAAAAACCCATCAATCTTACCTGTAATAGTGGCTCTTTTTGGCAGGATGGTGACGGCACCAACAGCGGCGTCCTCGAGGCCTTGAATAGGGCTGTTCTTGGCTCCCCAGCTATCTGACCCGATCCATAGGAAATGGCCCACTTGATCGGCTCTTTTGCTGGCGTTAAGGATCCCCCTGCGAACATTCCCATACAGGAAACCATTACTGTGACATTGAGGCCCTCTGTGACTCTTCAACAGAGCAGGAGATGTGGGCCAGCGACTGTAATAGCATCCAGATTGAATCGTCATTGAGTATGAAATACAAAAAAGCAATTTTCAATGGGTTTGCTTGAATGATGACATGTTGATGTCATTAATCAATACCCCAAGTGGCTGAGCTTATCCAGCAAACAAGATATAAACCCCTCAAGTACACCCTAGAGTTTTATCTAAGTAATAGCGTTCAGGCCAGTAGGAGTATTGACTTGTTGTCATCGAGAACTGTTAGAACGGTTGTTATTTTTGGAGCTCAAAAGGGAGCAATTAATTGCTTGAAAATGAAATTTATCGTAGCCCTATCTTGCGATTTCCACTTCCTCTTCCTCTCCTGGCAATGTTGCCAACAGCTTACCGAATGTCTTCGTCGTAAGCGAAAATAATGACTGCCCGGGCATGACGGGTCTCCAGCAGCTGTCGGATAATCTTGTCAAAATCAGCCTGCTTGTGGTCGTGAGGGATCTTCAGGGACTGAGCGATGCAGATTCCACCTACAGAAAGAACAGAAAGAGACCCATGAGCGACACCAGAACAAAATAAAAAATGAAGAACTTTCCCCTAACGTTAGCATAAAGTTCCCGTTTGGTTGTGTTTGGAACCAAATAATAACATTCTAGGAACGTTCAATTTTTGTAACCAAAACTAACTTTTCTAGAATGTTGCTGGGAGTTTTTTGTGATCTACAATAAAGACAACCTACAAAGAATGTTCTCTAATGGTTATTTTTGGGGGTTTATTGTTTATTTTGGTGAGGTGTTTGTTTGTTTATTTATTCATTCATTTATGTACCCATCCATCAATCCATTTATTTATTTATTTTTGTGTTTATTTATTTATTTAGTGTTTATTTATTTATTTATTTATTTGTGACAAGCTAAAGAGAGCCTATGCAGAAGATTTTCTAATGTTTTAAATTTTTCTAACCATAAATTAATCTTGCGGGGAGGGTTGTTTGTTTGTTTGTTTGTTTGTTTTATTTATTTATTTACAAACTAAAGAGAGCCTATACAGAATGTTTTCAATAGTTATGTTTAGAAAATTTTTAGAGGTTGTAATGATTGATTGATTTTATTTTATTCTATTTTTGGAGAAAACTTAATGATAATATATACAGAACATCCTCTATTTTTTTTAGGTTTAATATCTATAATTACAAAGTAACCTTCATAGAACTTTGAAGGGAGTTGTTTTCATGACAACCTAAGCATAACCTACACAGAACATTATCTAATTCTATTTTTATAACCCTAAACCAACCTTTCCAGAATGTCACAAGGAGTTTTATATTTATAAATTGGGTCGTTGTCTATTCAAGACCCCTTTACAGTTTCTTTCCTGCACAAGTGTGATGAACAGCACTGCCAAGGAAAAGTGTTAGGATTAGTCTAAATCCATCAACAGTTCTGCAGGTTTTGAAGCAGATAGTAATGGAATATGTCACTCTCTTATACCAGCCCATTTTCAAGACATTCGCCCATTAGATATATAAAGATTCTGCACGACAGACATGCTTAGGAACAACACAATTCAGTGCTGTTTGGTAAAGATGTAAGCGAAAGTGAAATACAGCTTCCTCTTATTATAGTTTGCAGGTTGGTGACGACTCCAAATCTCTCTGGTGATTTATGAGACGGTCTGTGTCGATATCTGAGTCTGTGCCCGCTGCCCTGGAGAGGAGCTTTTATGAGCGTGGCATCAGAAGATTGGAATTGTGATAAAAAAAAAAGGACAGACAAATGATGGCACTGATGATAAACCCATGGCAGTTGCTTCAATACGCTGGCTTTTCTGGAAAGAGAGGCGCTGAACTTGGCATCACTCCCCGTTTGTCTCGTTGAAATCCCAAAGCCGTGCTCTTGTGTTCCTGTTCACTGCACAGTGTACTTAGCCATGGGAATTTTCCCATTATCTGGAATATTCACTGGGGAAGCTCATACTGCCATTCTGAGATAGATGAATCCCATGGAGCAGAATGAATGTCAGAATAGCGGTTGTTTATTGATTTTCAAATGCGCTTTTGTTACACAAGTGCAAGAACACATGCTCAAATGCTAATGCTGTCTAGGTTTCCAACACACTGTTTTACTCACAAAATCCACCCCTGAACTCCTAAGGATTTTCAAATCCGTTCATGGGAATCATGAAAAAGAATAGCGACTCTTGACAGATTCAGTGGCTAATTCCTTAGATTGATTCAAACTGACTAACTCAAGTGTATATGAATCTCTTTGATGGCCTGATTAAAAGTAGCAGCTAATAAAATGAGTCATTTGTTCATGAATCAGACTTTACTGGTCTCGCAGTATGTTTCTTTTCAGTCAGCATTTCATTTATCATCCTCCCGCCTTTTTAACTCACTGCATTAAGACTTCTTTTTTTACATTGCAAGATTTCTTTATTATAAAATATGATTTCTTTATATCTTTGTTTTGTGAATCAGTTTGTGCGAATCATGAGAAAGAACATCATTCACGTCATTCTTTTCTGTCAGTGTTTTATTTGGCATTCTCCTATGTTTTTAACTTTAGCAAATTTCAGTCGGGTAAAACTAGGCTAAAAAAAGATTCATTTTTGTATAAAATATTCTTTCTTTATCTTTGTTTTGCAAATCATGACACTGACAGATTCAGTGACTGATTCAAACTTAAAATTATTCAAACGGACTAACTCATATGAATCTCTTTGAATGACTGATTCAAAGCAGCAGCTAATAAGAGTCGTTTGTTCATGAATCAGACATTAACGGCCTTGTGATATGATTATTTTCAGTCAACCTTTTATTTAACATTTCCCCGCCTTTTTACCTCATTACATAACTTCAGACTACAAATTTACAACTTAGGAAAAACAGGATTTCTTTATCATAAAATATGATATTTTTATCTTTGTTTTGCAAATCGGTTTGTGTGAATCAGGAGAAAGAACAGTGACACAGACAGATTCAGTGACTGATTCATTAGAATGATTCAAACAAACTCTGGAGTACATGATTCCTCTTGACCATTTTACAAATTCAGCAATTCAATATGAATAACAAATTCAATCCCAAAAACTAAATTCGGTAACACTTTATTTTAGGGTCTCTTAACTAGTTGCTTATTAGCATGCATATTACTAGAATGTTTGCCATTTATTAGTACAAATTAAGCACAAATTAATGCCTTATTCTACATGACCTTATTCTACAGCCCTAATCCTACCTAATACCTAAACTTAACAACTAACTTACTATTAATAAGCAGCAAATTAGGAATTTATTGAGGGAAAAGTCGTAGTTAATAGTGAATAAGTGTTCCCCAAAATTCAATTGAATAGAAATTAGTAACACTGTACTAAATTCAGTTAGATTGCAACACTTTTATACACTGACACAACTAAAACACACTTGCTACTGAAACTTCATGGCATGATGGATAAGTAATTTCCTGATGTACTGTACCATCAGATTAAACCACTACACCTTGAAAGGAAGTCCAAAATCTGAACCTTTCCGGCCTTTCGAGTTGAGTTAATGCGATTTAATTGATCTGTCAACTAATGTTAACTGACCAATTAGGATCTTCCAGAAGCATGCCACCAAGTGGCAGGAGTCGCGGTAAATTGACATGGACAGGCCCTGCAGACACCAATTATAATTAAATCCCTCTTAGCCATGGGTTTTAACCCCAACACGCCTCGGAAAGTACACAATGCATGCTGACAATGTATGCGGCATGAATCACCAAAGCGGATACAGACTGTATTTTCCCTATACAGCATGCCGTGAAATCTCGGAAATGTAATCCAGCCCTTGTTTACGTCTCTCTTTGTCTTTTGTAAGACGCTGTTCACCAACGCTGGCGTTCTTCCGAGTCAAGATATTTTAAAGTGTGTTGGTATGCATCATTGTAAAACCTCTGCAGATCTCAGTCACTAATTTCAGTCTTAAAATATCCCTTTAGGCAGTTTCAAAACTCACATTCCTTTTACTTAAACACAAACTCTATTGAACCCTGAATTCAAATGCTTTTATTTGTATGTACGTGTGGAAGATGCTCGAATTTAAAGTGATTTACTGTACAGTGCATTCAAGCTCTGCATTAGATCATATTTGCAAACAAGTGAACTTTGCATTGCAAGCTCTGTGTGTTTCTGTGCTGACGCTGAAGGGGAAAACAACAGCTGTAGGATACTGTGAAATGTTTTAAACATGGTCAAATGTGTGAAAGCTGCAGTAATAATAATAATAATAATTCTTTTTTTTTAATTAATTTAAAAAAATGATTGAAGTTGTGCCAAAGAAAACCCTTTCACTGTGGTCAATTCCAAGCCTTCAAAAAGCATCTTAAATGGCTTAAAACTTTTATTATTAGTATTATTATTAGCAGCAGTAGTAAAAAATTATTGATACATTTTTTTTAAATATCATCATCATCTTCATCACTTCCAGTAACTGAAATAAAGCTGAAATAAAAAATATATATATTTGATAAATTTTAAATAAAAAAAGTTGTTGTTAAAAAAAACCTGTGATTTTATCACAATTAAAGGTTAAGCACCTCAATTCATGACTAAAAACAAGCCTTACAAAATAATAATAATAATAGTCACTTTCAAATGTTTCGCAAAATCTATAACGGTTAATCGTCTAATATTACTGAATAAACCAGTATAGCTTCACTGGGTTACAATAGTCATTTTTTTTCCCAGGTTGCTCTCAGCTCAGAGCTCACCTTAAATTAAAGTGCTGCTGACAGGACAAGCTCAAAGAGATGAAAGTGAACAGATCCGATAAAGTAAAGCCAGGTTTAGTTGCAGGACTCAAGGTCAATACTGTTATTCACAGCCATAAGCCAGATGTCAGTCGCCGCTGCTGAAGACCGGCTCTAACAGACTGCTGTGGCTTGACCTGGATCTCGTACCGTTTCAAATGACCAGCGTGATCCAGGACAAACCTCGAGATGAAATGACTTTCTCAAAGAACACCCACTTTCAAGCACTTTTAAAAAAGAATAAAAATCATATAATATCTGACAAATAATGTAAAATGCACACCAGCTTTGCTATAGTTAACTAAGACCAACACTTTTCAAAAATCATTTTTAGTAATCGAAATGAAGCTGAAATAAAATAAATATATTTGAAGAAAAACTTATACAGAACTTATCAAAAATCTTGCCTTGACTAACTGAAATAATTAAAGAAAGCTGAAGTACTGAAACAACTAAAAGATAAGTCAAAATAAATATAAAGTACATAAAAATATTTCTATGTCAAAAGTATGTTATAACATTACTAAAACAAACTAAACTTAAAATTAATACAAACAAACAAGCAAATAAACAAATAAAATAAAAAATAATATAAAATCAAAATTAGTGTTGTTATTTCTACCTAAAAACCAAAACTATTAAAAACTGGTTTTAGTAACTGAAATCTGAGCTCAAATAAAATGTACATATTTAATGAAAAACATATACAGAAGTTTTTAGAAATATTGACTTGGCAATGA